TTTGAAGAACACCTACCCTTTTACCAAGTGTGTTTCAAAAACTGCTTCCCTTTTTTGAAATGAAACATTATGTAAAATCAGAAAGTCACATACTTGTTTAATGTAACTGATGTTGTCATGAAATCCAGGTCCTTTATTTATACTTGGGATAATGCAGCGGTAATGAAAGCAGAATTGGACCTAAGAGGGGTTTTGTTTCAATTATACAACAATGTGGGTAAGAGACTTGGATTTGACAGCAACAGAAGAAAGGGAATATTGTGCTCATGCCTTCAATCAGCTTTATTAGATCCTTAAAGGGAAAATTATGTGAAAGACAGAAGAATAAAACAACAAACTAAGCAAGATCCCAATTTCAGTATAATTCGAAGAAAATAACTGATTTAGGTTGGTCGTCTTGCCAGGGTGAATGACTCAAGGCTTCCAAACAAGAAATGGAAACCAGAAGGATAGCGAAAGCCTGGAAGAACAAATTGAGAAGATATGATTGACTGTAATGTTTCAAAATCAACTGCTGCAAAGATGAGTTTGGGCTGTTGCCCAGAGTACAATTGAATGGTGATGTTCATTTAGACCCTTAATGCTGAAACAAAATAAGATGTAGCTGTGTTTCTGTTAGAGATTTACTTGTTCTTTCCAGTGTCTCTAGCTAGGGATATGATGTCACGGCCCTTCTCTTCTATCACACGCTGCAGTGATTGCTGCCGCTGTTCTGTGGTTTTTTCTGAACATAGATTTTCTGAAGAAAGGCCTGAATCCAGGTGATAATATCTTTCAAATGTGAAATGTCATCACCATTCACCAGCTGACTTTGAAAAACTATACACTGTGTGCAAGTAGGCTAACTCAGTGTTATTGACCAAGGAAAAGAGAAGTGTAAGATTGTTGTACGTGTATGTACTTTCTGACTGACAAGGCCATTCCTGTTTTTTGTTACTATCATGCTAGGTTTTTTTTAAATAAGCAAATAGCTCATTTTGCAAAGATTTCAAATAATTGTATCTTTGATGGGCACAACTTGTAAAGCATTACTTGGAAAAGTTGGGGCAGCTGCTTGTCCTCCACCTCAGGCGCAGAAGGTTCTAAAAGAGACTAAGCTTTATGCAAAAAAATAGTCAGTTGACAATAGGCAGTGTTGAGACAGGATTGTCATCTACTTCCTCCTTCCTTTTATTCCTTTCATCTCACTGGCTGTGCTTACTAACTGTTTTTCTGTTTCTATTCTAAATGAGGAAGAAGAAAAATCTAAACCACAGTTCATAATTAAATACTGAGCTAGTTCTTACCATGTTTACTGAATTACATATTGCATATATGGATGTATATCCTCACAGTTTTCATGTGTTTTTAGATTTCTAAACTTAATGCGTTCCATAGGAATAGACCTTAACTCCTTCTTGTCTGTTTTTCATGACGATATTTACCTCCACAGAAGAAGGGAGTAAAGTGGTGAAACCCAGTTACAGATCCTTTAAAATTGTAAGGATTCACAGAGACATGAATGTAGTTGCTGAGCTCTGCAGATTCTGCTGGTTCACAGTAAAGATTCCTCCAGCAGAAAATATTCAGTGTTGACCTTACAGCTGCAACAAACAGATCAGCTTGACACGACATGCACAGTAATATCTTTGTATAGGTATCTTTGCCGCAGGGTGGCTAACCTGATAAAGACAGCTTTAAACCAGGAACCACAAGGGGTGGAGAGAGTTACCACAGCTCTGAGGGAGCAATGGACAGGCTGACAAGCAAAGCACCTGCAGTGATGTGAACAAAAACAAAAAAATGAACAAAACAGGGCTTAAGTGGCATCACCTCAAGCATTTGCATGTAAGCAAGGAAGTCTCTCTGAAGTGCCTGCACACTGAGGCACACAGCATGGGGCTAAACACAGTGTGTGGTAGTGTGTAGAGAGCTGCAGCAGTAGGATCTTGTTGAGACCCCGGAGATGCAGTGGATGGCTCACATCACTGGAGTGCAGTGCAGTGGAGGGATAGAGACTCTTTAGGAAGAACAGGCTGGGAAGACAAGGAGGGGGAGTTGCCCTTTGTGGGAGAGAGCCGCTGGAGTGCATGGAGCTCTGTCTGAGGGTGAATAATGAGAGTTTATGGGTAAGGATTAAAGAGCAGACCAATAGTGGCAACTTTATAGGAGATGTCTACTATGGGCCACCTGACCAGGAAGAATGAGCAGGTTGTCGCAATGGGGGGGGGGGGGGGGGGGGGGGGTGTCCGTTTGAACATCAGGAAACACTTTTTTACTGTGAGGGTGATCAAGCACTGCCACAGAGATCTCCTGGATCTCTGTGGAATCTCCTTCCTTGGAGATATTTAAGAGCTGTCTAGAGGTGGTCCTGGGCAATCAGCTCTAGGTGGCCCTGCTTGATCAGGGGCTTGGACCAGATGATCTCCAGAGTTCCCTTTGAACCTCAACCCTTCTGTGATTCAGGAGCAATGGATAATTGCTTCTCATATTTTCAGTTCCCATTTCTCTAGAATTTCCAAACAATCCACCGTCTGGCCCACTGATTATCTGAATCTCTGGTACTTCAACACCAAGATGTAATAGAATGGTGGATTACTCTTTAGAAGTGATTATCTGCCTCACAGGATTGCTGAGATGGCAGATATGTTGCTCAAATTCCTGATATACCCTTCCCTTCCACATTCTTTCTGCGAAGCTTCCCCTGTAGATCCTCAGAGCCCATGGCAATGTTACAAGGTTTATATATTCAATAGCTGCATACATGAGAGTATACATGCTGGAAAAGCAGCCTGTACTGTATAAAGCTAAGCAATGCTTCTGGGTGTAGTAGAACTGAACTGTTGCTTTATACTGCATAGATTTCTGCTTATGCGTCTCTTACTGATGAGGAAATCTGGGCCAAGTTTGGGTCTCACTTTTTTGCAGTCAGAGCTAAACTTAGGAGTAGAGCATTGGAGCACTTATTTTCCAATTACGGTCATGTCAGAGTACTAGAAATTCCAAAGGGGATGGCTGTTGTAGATATGCTTGCAGTGGTTTAGATAGAGCTGAAAAGAAGAAAGTGTTTATAGGAATTTGTGTTCTTGTAGCTGACCCTACTTGGACATCAGTTTCAGTTTGAACTTGTGTGAAACTCTATGAATCACATGCTTAAAGTTATTCAGCATTTCAGTAGCTTGCTGAATCAGCAGGAATATACTTTGAACATGTATGAACCATTAAAGACTAAGACTGGATCCAGTATATCTATATTGCTATATCCATATCTATAGATATTTATAGTTATATCCATATCTATAAGGATACAGATATATGTACATATGTATGTGTATATATTTATGTTTGGAAAGTGAGACTTCAAGGAAATTCAAACAACCGACAACTCAACTGAATTCCTGAAATCTCCTGCCCGAGGACTTTCAGCATTTTGTCATGAAAACATCATTGTATAAAGTGCTCAAAGTTTCCTTTTATCGTGGACTGGAATTCAAAATTTGCTTGCTTCAAAGGAAGGATAAGTGATATTCCCACTCTGGAGCATTTTACAAAGTCTAATTTATTTTGTATATATTGAAGCAGCTTAAGAACGTAACTCCAGAGAAGTGTTAGAAGAAGGGTGGAAAAAATGGTATAGCATTTGTGTTATTTTACATTACCCTGGGGAATGTGAATTAAATTGGGGGGTTTTTTTGACATGCACAAGATAACTGTAGGAGAATCTGTTGATGTGATGACTCTTCCACGTCCTGCAAAAGTATTCCAAGTAATAGGCTGTTTTAGAAAGGTGAATCACCACATTTCAACATCACCATTTTCAGCATTTTAAGAAGAGATAAATCCTTTGCTTTAAGAAGTTATTTCTTCTGTAGACAGAATTGTCTTACAGTCCTGAAAGAAGTGTATAAACTCTGAAGATGGATAAAATGTAAGATATACCCTTGTTGGCTGTCAAGGCAGCTTTTTCCTGATTGCATTAGATGCCTCTCCCCATGCACTGTCTAGGTTAATGCGGAGACCTAACAGGCAAGAACTATGTCTAGTTTCACCTTATCCTGGGATTTTGAGAACTACCTGTCATTTAAAGCATTACCAAGACCCAGCTTTATGCATCTTCATTGCCCTTGTAAGCAGAGTTCAGGCTGCCTGCAAATGCCATGTATGTTGCTGCGCTTGTAGCAGATTATAGATAGATAGATAGATAGATAGATAGATAGATAGATAGATAGATAGATAGATAGATAGATAGATAGATATAGATATATACATAGGTAGATACATAGGTAGATACATAGATAGATATAAAACTTAGATGATGCAACACAAAGCATATATTTGGCTTCAGGCTAGCTAAAAGTCAGCAGCTGTTGTAAACTCCTTCATTGTTTATAGAGTTAGGTAAAAAAGTGTCAAAGACCTGAATGAGTACAGTGGCAAGATACTGCCTAATATTTTTGCCAAGATGAAATACATGCATTCTATTATGTCTTTGTTCATAGATAACTTGTGTTAAAAGTATGCAGAAAAAAAAACCTTCATCTATTTTGAGGCATATTTAAACTTTAAAAGATGTCTTAATCTAGTGTCTAAAAATAAGCATGTAGGTTTTTTTGTATGTAACTTGCTGAAGTTGCAGTGTTTGCCAAGTCTGTATTGTGTGACTTCAGATTTTAATATTATCACTGCTACATCAAGGAAATTTAAAAAATGAAGTAGTACGTTGTCTTAGCTGTCAAAACTGTTCCTCTTCCTTTAAATACGATTTCTTGTCTATTCAGAAAAAAAAAAAAAATGATTGAATTTTTACTTGTTCATTGCTGGTTCTTTGATATCTCACAGCAGGTAATAGAATTGGTAGCACATTACTTATTTAGCAAATAAACAAAAAGAATTGTTATTTGTCGGCATGCTTGGAAATGCAGAAAGCTCAGTTGTTTTACTCAAAAGTGTAAATAGAATTGGTAGTATGGTAATGATATGTTGTTTATCCATGCAAAAGTAATTTATTTTTTCTTCACTAGATTGCTTGGCTTCTACAAAGGAATATTTCCTCCCATCTTGGCTGAGACACCCAAAAGGGCAGTGAAGGTAAAAAACTCCATACTTCCATCTTAAAAATACGAGTAGGGATAGTGTCAACTGTAAAACATTTTATTCCTCCCCCACTGATTGACATTAGAATCTTGAACTTATTTGGCATATTAATCCTCTGATTTTTACTGGTGGGAAACTTTCCTGTTGATAACACAATAATAACTGTGTTTGATTATGAAGTGTAGAATAATGCTCTTAAATGCTAAGCTGATTTTGACCTCTACATATAATGTTACTGAAAAAAAAAATACAGTTAATTTATGCAATCAAAATTAATAAAATACCTCCAATGATATTTTAGCCTCATAATTAACTCTGATTTAGACATTTTGTTTTACTTGCAAAACAACTAAGAATAGCTTAATAAATTAACACAAGAAGCCATTAATGAAGCCACTCCTAATAAGTACTTACTCAGTAACTTGAAGTAGTATATCTATAGATTTGAAGTGCTGCCCAGAGTTTTCTTGTATTCCAAAGGGCACTCTGCTTCATACTTTCACTGTTTTACAGATTGAACAAAGTAACTCTTCATCATGCAAAGAACATTTACTCCATTTCTCTTACAGCTGAAATAGATGGTAGCCTATCAAAGTGTATTTACTGTTGAATATTGATCTTATTTTCTTTTATTGTCCTCTGTGTTGACATGTGTAGGATTATTTTAGTAACATTCCTAAGCAAAATATTCAATACATCAATCTCTTCAGTTAAGTAATGCAATCTTTTTAATGAAAAGGTAGCAATTAAGCAGCTCATCTTAAAGTTCTAAATGTATCGTTGTGTTACAAGAAAATGGTTCTTTGTGTCTTACTTCAGAACTTTGAAGTTTCCTATAGTTGCACCAGTGTATCTAAAAGCAGTTTTTATACAGAATGTCTTGATTTTCCTTTCTCTTTTTTTTTTTTTTTTTTTTTGGGGGGGGGTGGTGGAGTGGTTTTTTGTTTTTTTTTTTTGTTTCTTTCTAAAAAGGCTGCATATGATTCTGGTCCTTAGTCTGCAATTAATCATTCACATTCCAGTTCCTTTGCAGAAGAATAATATTTGTATAAAGTGACAGGATGTGACCTTGTAACAGAATCCTAAAGGAGTTCTGGTAATGTCATCTTCTTGTTTGCATTGGCATTTTAGATGCAAATGACATATGTCACCCTTCTCGAAATTTTTTAATACAACTAAAAAAACTCAAGTTCTATTTCATAACAAACTGGCAATGAAGGATAGATGATATTTAGAAGATTCATAATAACTCACATTCTTCGTACTGTGATATTTCCTCTGTCTCTCCATTTCATTTCATTTGAAAGAGGTCAAAATCTGATTATGCTTTTTAGGTACCAGCATATATGTAATTAAAATACAAAGCCAGGTTGGATTTCTCTCCCACCAACCTGATTCATGAAAAAGTCTTGAGTAACTTTCTCTTATTCAAATGGATTAAATTGGTTTAAACCACATGTTATTCAACATAATACTAGAATCACAGGAAGATTTAAACTGGGAGGGATCTCTGGAGGTCCTCTGATGAGCCTCCTATTCAAACAGGGATGACTTCATGGTTAGATCAAGTTGTTTGGATGTGTTGTTGAGCCTGAAAATCTTCAAGGATGCAGACTGCAGCCTCTCTGTGCTCCTGCTCCAGTATTTAATTACTTTCACTGTGAAGAATTTTGCCTCAAATTCAATCCAAATTCCCTGTTGCAACTTTTGCCTATTGCCTCTTATGCTTCTGTTGTGGACCTCTGAGAAAGTCAATCTTCATCTTCTGGATGGTGGAAGACAGGAATTACATCCCCTCAAGACTTCTTGTCTCCAGGCTAAATAGACTTGGTTCTTTCAGCTTCTTGCACATCATAAGCTCACAGGTCCTTAAATGTCTTACTGGTGCTCCTTTCGTGGGATTTCTGTGAGGGCTCAGTAGTGTTTCTGCTTCCGTGGAAATCAAGTTTAAATGCTAAATGTATTTTTTAATTAAGTCATTGAATTCTTTAATTGTTTACACTACTCTTTTAAATTTTATGCTGTTCCTAGGAAATCAGGAGGAAAAAAGCTCTGTTTCCTTAAGATATCAACCATGTTCTACATTAGAAGAACTCTGATAGAATAGGGCAGCACAGTAATGTCCTTATAAGAACCTTGATACTGAAGCAATTCAATGTGAGATGCAATATGACAGCACAATTTCTAGCCTCCAAAGTGGAGTTTGTATGCATGCTTTGACCTGAAGAGAATCCAGCTTGTCTCAAATTTCTGCGTACCTTATTTGTATGTGACTCCAATGGAAAAGTCACTGCTTCTTTTGGTTCACTCTCCACCTTCTATTCTTCTAATAGTTTTCCTGATTTTAACAGGTCCTAAGGTATCCCTTGTGCACTGCCAAAGTCACAAACTGACTTGTGAGATCCAGAGGGCACTTATGTCCATGCTTGTGGTTTTGAGACTTGAGAAACACAAAAGGCAGAGAGGCAATTTCTAGGTTTCAGCAGCCTTGGGTTGTGTTTGTAAGGAGCTTTTTGGAAAACTTCAACTTATAGTGTCTTTTATATCTCATAAAACTGTATATGCTATGGACAAGGGAGATTTTGTACCAGGAAGAAAAGTGCTGGTACTACTGGAATATTTTACTTATCTGGTGTGGATATTTGCAAATAAAAATAAAGCTACTGAAATAAAGTTATTTAGCCCCAGTTATTTAGCTAAGTGCTGAAGATATTCACTTGTAGACAACTTTGTTCTCATGTCTGTCTTGCTATTTCTTTTTTTTCTTTCTCTTTATTTCCCTTCTAAAAAGAAACCTGATATTTCTGGAAGATGAAAAGTCAAGGTTTATAACTTTATGTTAGATTGAACTTGGAGGAAGGAAGTGATGATGCCAATACAATGGTTAACAGATGAACTTTTGGGGCAAATTCATATTGTTCATGTGTTCCCAGACATCTTGTTTCAAGCATATATTTTTACCTTAGAATTATTGAGACATCTGGTAAGTACTTTGGCTATTTTCTATGTAACTTGAATTAAAGTGTATCTTTGCCAGATGGACAATATTGTTTATTATATACACAAAAGCATGTTTTAAATACATTTATTCTGAGATAATTTTTTTTGGTGCAAATCTATTAATACAACTGTAAAGACAAAGACAAGGTATACTGTGGTTTTAAAAACATTTTATTTAAACATGATATAAATGCATATGATATAGCTAGATACTTTTTGGCAAAACTGTATGTATACTAACCACGCTAGTATACTCAGCAACATTTACATTGAGTTTTATTGCTATTATTTCTTTTCTTTTTAAAATGATGTAAATCATAGTTACTATTAAGTAGCTATTTTATGTATGACTCTAGGAAGCTATTGATTTTTAAGGTAACATTTTTAAGACCAAAAAATTGCTAGGTAATATATTTCTGCCTTTATTACAACCATTTTACAGATCTGTATCATTATGGAAAACATTAAGGAATACCAGAAATTCCATTAAAGGTTAGAAGGGTAACAATGGGTAGAAGGATGCTGGAGAGAGAATAAAGCAAACTTTATCACAATAAGAAATTAATTTAGTTCAGTGAAGTAACTCACACACTCACAATTGACACTTTCCCAGAGACTTCCTTTTACCTATAAAATATCTTCAGTTTTCCAAAAAGATAAACCTACAGTCTAAGTAACACTTCTCTCTTTTCTGATTATTAGCAAGGCAAGTACCATACTTTTAAATGTGTCTGCAGGGTGTTTGCAAAACTAGTGTTCAACCTGTACACTCTTTGGAGGGCCCCGATTTTAGGACCTTTTCTGCAAAATGAGATAAGAATCCCTACTGAGGATAAAAATGTATCATCTGTCCCCTGGCCAGAGTATCAGTCCTTCAGTTTTACAATTTAATATGTATTCATATTCCTTCCTGCTTTAAATATAGTGGCATTTTTAGCATGTTAACACTTGTTTCTCTGATGGTTTTGGTGTCATTCTACTGACTTTTCATTTGAAGCCACACTTGATTGAAAAATGTTATTGGCTTTGCGATAGGATAGGATTCTAAACAAGTTAAAATGACAATGTGGTGCTTATTACTCATGTTCCTCTACACATGTTTTATGGACAAGCTGTTTTGTTCTGATAGGTCTGTGGTAACTAAGCCCTGAGGGACAGAGCTTGTCTTCTTTGGCTGAGACCCAGCACAGGTCACCCAGTCTTTCTGTTTTGCCTGAAAAACTCTATTCCCTTATGTTTTTTACAATTCCCACATCTCCATTGACCTCATTTCCCATTGCCTTCCTGTCATGGTGAAACTGTTTGATTGTCACATCCATGGGCAGGTGCTGTGTGGAGGGATCAGAGCCTTGTGTGGGAGTAGAATTCAGAGGATCCTGCCTTCATTTGAATCAACTTGCTCTAAACTAGTCAAGTGTTACACGTCAACTTTGGAAAGTAGCCAAGAAAATCAGAGGTTCTAGTGATTTCTTTTTGCTATACGGGCATGTGACAGTTCTTGCTCTAGTAGATAACCAACTGCACAATGCAGTCTTGGTGAAACTGTGACAAGGTTTTGTTGTTCAGTCCTGTAATACTGGACATCCTGTGAAAACAAAACTTCCCTTTTGCATGTAAAATTGTGAATACTTCTTGGACAGATTATAGAACTCACAGTGAGCTGTAGTTACGGGCCTTGTGTTGTTCTGTGTGTGAAAATTATGTGGAACAAACAGCATCTCCAGTATCTTTGGTTTTCTCTGTAATTCAAATATCAGTTCTTTATAATCCTCAAAATTTTCTGCTGTCCTCATTCATCATGCTAGATAACCATTTTCACTCCCTTCAGAACTGTCTTATGTGCATCAACCTGAAGTGCTCTTTCAGTGGCTTCAGCAACGTATTTTCAGAATACTAATTTGAAACAATATGAGGTGTGGGGAGATTTGCTGTTCACAGAAGCGCTGAGACTATAAAGGATCTCTTAGGCCAGCAAACCTAGTCATCTGCTATTCTGTAATCTCCTTCATAAATTTATCAAAATCTCCCTTACAAGTGGTTAATTTCTTTCCTTCATTATTCTTATTGGAAGACTGTTTCAAGACCCCACACCTTTGGTTGTAAGAAAGCATCAGATCTCAAGACGCATTCTATTTATTAGTAGCTCTTACTTTTATGCTCAATTACTTTATGTTACATATCTTACTTTTTTTTTCATTCTCTTGCAGCCTCTGTTTTGCTAGACCAAACAAAGCAATCATTTATTTTCCTTCAGTCTTCATTCTTAAAAAAACATCTTTAAGTTCTCCTTATTGTCCTGAAAACCCTGGTTTGAATACGCTGTAGTCTAAGGTCATCTTTTTAGAACAAAGGTGGCCAGGATTGTGTGCTGTATTTCAGAGGGAATCTTACCAATAATTTGTACGTTGTCACAAATACTCTTTCTTGACTGATGCATCTTAGACCTTAACTGATGCATGCTAGACCTTGTCTGTCCAGAGACAAAGAAATACACAGTGAAGGTCTGTCTGCCTGCATCATTAGGAAGCTTCTTACTGACCTCACTGCAGTCAGGGTTATTCTCAATACTCTTCTTGGATGAACAAATCCATCAATTTAAAAAGCTTTGATTTTTAGATTTCACAAAAGGTATTCTGAAAATTAATGGGTTTGGGTGGCAAGAAATGTTAGGTTGCAAATGAAGACATTTACAAATGGTTGCCTTTCTCTGTGTCAGTGCAGATGAAACTGAGCTTCTCATTTCTTTCTTGGAATTCAAACACGCAAGAGTACAGCTTTCAAAACTCATCCTCTAAGGAATTGCAGATGCTCAGAACTTCTGAGCACCACTGACTGAAAGCAGACAATTGGGTGAAAGATTTATTTGTAAAGAGCAAAAGCTAAAAGAAATGTGCTTGTGGACAGTAAAATATTACAAAAATCTATAGACTTTCTAACTTCAAAATCTTCAATTACGTCTCTCAGGTGAGAAGTAGACTAGTATCTGAGAAACTTGAAAGTGATCACAGTATATTATATTAAATATGTGAGGATGATTTCTTGAGAGAAATTATATTTGCCACTACCTTTATGCCACTATATGAAAGTTTAATGCTAAAGGAAAGTTTATAATTTAAAAATGTGAACTATGTTTTGCAAGAGAACTCTTACAGAAAAAAAATACTTTAATTGGACTTATGCTATCATGCATGATACACTAATAAAATCAGTTCTGAAGCCTAATTGTCTGATGAAGCACATCTAACACTGCTACAGAGAGTGTGAAACAAAAGTGGCTTATGTTTATTTTGCAGAACTGCACATGGCCATTCAGGATATAAGGTATCCTGAAGCTCCATTGTAGTTTGGTTTTGCTAATTTGCATAAGTAACATAATTTTTTTCAATGCAATTTCAGTCTAACTTTTATTTACAGTTTTTCACCTTTGAACAATACAAGAAGGTACTAGGATATTCATCGTTACCGCCAGGACTGGTACGTATGGATACAGAACTTCATGTTCTAATTTAATATGGGTATACTGAATGGTGCCATCCATTTCCTCTCATAGAAGGAGCCCGAAATTAAAAGGGCCAGTTCAATCAACAGTCTTCCAGAACAGACTTTCCCTTTGAAAACACTGATAACAGAATTTATCTAAATGATAGTTACATTAATTTTTATATCATATGTCTCCAAAGTAATACCCTACAATGTCATAACATTTGTTAATATGGATAGAGACAGTCACCGTGGAAGAGTCTCTATGCAGCTTGCCATTCTTCATTCTTGCAAATTAGATAATAAAGTTGAATGTTATCAGTATTTATTTACTCATATGATAATGACTAGTTTGATACCTCAGCCTCAGCGTGCTACTCTGCAAGGCGCAGTGCAACTATAACAAAACTACAGACCTCGGTCTTATTCTAAAGACTGTATAATGAAAACATAAACTATGTATAAGAAACTGCTACCTCCTTTGAAGTGAATGACAAAGTACTCTTATACATCAGTGGAGTTTGGATTCCATCTCAAGAGTATTTAAAAAAAAAAAAAGACTTAAATATGCATAGAAATGTTTTAATACTAAGATGCAGTTTGCATATGTTGTATGCATTCTGATATAGAGAGCTTAATTCTGCTATTTTACCCTTTTGAATAAAATATTTTTATAAGAATTACTGCTTTCTGTAGTGTAAGAATCTAAGTAATAGCAAATATCTATTTTTCATGAAAATGGAATCATAACTGTAGGAAATGATATTTTTATGGTTATGCTCCAAAGGTTTTGCTTACTTCAGATATCTTTCGCACAGTATTGTTTCCATTTACATCTGCTTTCCATTGCAGTGAGTGAATGATCATGGAATCATATTAACTAGTTTAAAGCAAGTTTCCTCTTCCTCTTGGTTATTCCACTGGCCCTATAGTTGTTTACAGTATCTCCTATTTTATCTTGCATTTTTCAGCAGGCTCTTCTCATCCTTAGATTTAAAGAGAAGGCTGACATTTGTTCTCCAGCAAGTGGAAATAACAGAGTTTAAGATTCCATGGTTCACCAGCACTTTTTTGGAGGAGAATATGGTGGAAACATGACCAAAAGCTGCTGTGATTCATATAGCAGATACAGAAACTCTCAGACACCCCTGACATTTTAGGTTCAGAACTGTTACCACAGAGGCATTTTTGCCCCTAAAATAGGTGTGTTAGAGAGGGAAGAAGAAGATTGAGAGGTATTCTAATCTAAGCTAGACAGAATGCTTCTAGGTACCTCAACACACCTAATATCAAGACCACATTTATTGTTAAAAGAGTGATGGATATGTTCGCACCATCTTCCTGCTGGTTTCAGTCTCATGGTTGGTGATGAAAGAGATAGATTATGTTCCCACCTCATATTGGAAAAACAGATTTGTTTGTAGTACCATCTTCTCCAAAGGCAGTAAGGCTGGAGCTTGCTCTTACCTTCTAACTCACCATTCTTCTCTTTCTTGAGCTCTCAAGAGTCCCTGCTCAAATCCCTCTGTATTGAATAAGGTTTTTCTCACTGCTGTTGTTTCCTTACATTTGGTTTCCTTGAATCTCAGGAGATGTACTCAGTATATTGTATTTTGGTCCTGGGACTCTTTTCAGCCCCTGGAAAGTTAGGAGATATTAAAGAGAGTCAATAAATGCGTGAAGTGATCACCAGAATTAACTCCTCTGAATATTTGACCCAAATATTTCCATATTATTTTTCTGTTACAAACAAACAAAGTTATTTTTAAATGCTGTGTGTTGATGGAAAGCAAAGCAGTGAATAACTCCATATCTAGGACTGTAATGTACCATCAGCTTCTAAATGGAGTTAATTCATCCTTGTAGTGAATGCTGAGATTTCCATGTGTGCCACTCATCCCCATATAAACCTTCCCAGGACTGATATCTACTTTGGAGAACTCTTCCTCTGTGTGTGCAATTTGCTTATGTACTGTGTTATTTTGATTTCTTACATTTATTTTCTTTTTTAAGTTACTATGTTAGTGTTATACGCTCAATTCTCAGTGCAGAGTTTTATTTTTTCCAGTGCTGCATAACTGCATTCATATTTGAGTTTTTATTCAGACTCCACCCAACGATAACATGAGTGCATTGTTTTGCCGTGTTTTCATAATAAATTGGTACCATAGTTTTTCTTCAAGCGGAAAAGAGGGTTCAGTGACAGTGCTATGACATTTTATTTTGTATTTTTTGGAATGTGGTTTATGGCTATTGTCATATTGTCTTCATGAACTGTCAGCATCTAATCAAGGGCTAAAGTTGTTTAGTAATAGAATACTGCTGTATTCATGCAGTGTCACAGTTTGCATTGTATCATTCAGTTTCATAAGCTGATGTAGGGGAAATTTTACTCCATAATTTTTTAACTTTAATTTTAACTTTCTTAGGCATTTGCAGTTGCTGGCTTGGGATCTGGGTTGACAGAGGCAGTTGTGGTTAACCCTTTTGAAGTAGTAAAGGTTACCTTACAGACAAATCGGAATGCCTTCATAGAGGTATGAGAATTGCTCCATTCTTCTTTTTCTGCTTTATTAGGAATAGTGCACTACAAAATCCATATTTAGAGCATAATGTCTATAATATATTGGGTTAATGCCAATGATTTTCCCACATACTTAACAGAAATGGAAAAAGAGTGAAGAGACTCAATACACGATGCCTTCAGATATGCATGAGATCTCAGGTATGCAGAGATGCATGGCGTATTGTCAGCAGTGTCAGCATCTCCATTGTAAATACACTGTGTGTGAAGTGCACCTTCAGCCTCCAGAGTACCCAGCAGCCCAGCGCTGTGAGAAATTCTAATCCAGAAGTATAAACCGGAGCCCCTTGTACCCAGTGCATTTACCCCAGGAGGCTCCAGACTTCAAGTGAGCACCAAAGTTTAGCGTAAAACACCACAGCCCCATGCTCTAGCCAGGCATTTTAACATTTGTGTTAAAAATGTAGCTGATAGATTTCAGTCTTGGATAAAATTATTTATATTATAAGTCTTCATATTTATAAGCTCAAACCAGGAAATTGTTATCTAATAAAGCACACCAATAATTTAGATTCCTGATTCACTTCAGAGTTATATTGTTCAAATATTGTTTCGTTCAGAGAAGTCAATATGCAAAATTTACTTCGTCCACAGTTCTGGGTAGTGCTGAAAGGGAAAAAAATATTAAACTGGAAAACAGCGATTGAACAAAATCAAGTGTTCCCAGGAATACACCAGCTTCAATTAATTTTATTTTAGAAAATGTTCCAGGCTATTGGGAAGGAGGTCTGTCACAGTTCCTTTTTCCTTTTCTCAGTGAATAAGACTAAGAATTGTCCAATCAGCTCTTTCAAAATCTTTTGAGAAATCAGCTCTACCATAGTGGAAGTGCCAAATCACATAAGCATGGCATGAAAAGCTTGGCTGAATCCCTGGTGAGGCATGATTTTGCTTATTCTCCTATTAAGTTTTGACTGAGTTAATACTTGCATGCCTTGTAGCACTCGTCTGCACAAATTGAATGGGGAGATGCACAGTAAAGAGATTTATCACCTGGCTATTTACATAAGCTTTTCAGATATGCTCTGGCAAAACATTGCCACTGATTTCCAAATGTCATAGACTAGCTGGTACCTACTCTGTAACTCATCAGAGAAGCACTCTCTTCAAGAATAAACCTTAAAATATTTGGTAAATTCCTGTTTGATTCTCAGTGCAGCAAAATTGATCTTTGGATGCTCCAAGTCTCCAACCTAAACATTTTTTAACCATGGGCTGCAAATTCACTGAAACAGAGACCTAATATAGTACTGCAGTAAAAAGTTTGGGATCCTGGAAGAAGACTGAAAGTGGGAGAGAGCAACATGTGAGGGGATCTTTCTGTGGGGAAGATGATATGAAAAAATTATGGACTACTACTGCTCCAGCAGTAGTAAACTAAGCAGATATTCGGGATTTTTCTGTCTCACAGTTGTGAGGATAAATTTAACCTATCTTAAAACCTTCTGTTTTGCGTGAAATACTCTAGTATTGTATTTTGGGCAACCCAACTTCTCTAAAGTTGAAAGAGACCAATATGTCCTTTCACTTTACGTATTTTTTTTATCTCTCTTGCAAATTTTAGAACAATGTCTGGGGAGTTTTAGTTAGTAAATTTTATGCAACTACTTACTTTAGTTACAGCTTCTCTTCCTTGGTGACCTTCAGAATATTCCAATAATCACAGTGTAGCTGTTCAGAAGCATTCAGGTTTGTTTTAGGTTATGTGACTATTCTTTAAATTTCATTTTAATGCAAATTTTTACAAAATGCAAATAATAGTATATTATCATACAAATAAAATTGTAAAGTAATGCTATTGGGACTCCGCTAGAACCTAGTTTACACCTAAAGTATAAATTAAAGTGTTTATTTGCCCTAATGAAAAAATCCAAGGGGCTACAGTTCTTAAATCACAAAGACAGTTAATCACAGACATACCAATTTTTCATATATCTGTAAAAAAGTGTTAGGATTCCACATTTTGCTGATAATCAGGAAAATTACAGTGACTTCATTGCCATGATTTCAAGTACTCATTAAGAATATGTTAAAGAACATTTCACACTAAAGCATATAAAACTCATATTAAAAGCATATAAAACTCATATAAAAGCATATAAAACTTCCTATTGGAAGAAGCATGTGTATGTTGTATTATGCAGCGTAAGGCAATGGTGCACTCATTCAATTACCATGCACTGTTTTTCTAAAAGGTTTAAGTAAAGTATGTACATATCCCATTGTGTAGCTTTTGTACTGTATGATGAAACCTAATGCAGTTTACATATTTCTTTGACTATTGTGTTGAAATAATAAATATATCTTGTTTAAAAGGAACAAGGAAGAGCATGAACACATACTCCCACACCCAGACTCCTGCACACCCCCAAAGCAAATACTCACACACTACAGTGACAGCTGAATTATTCTGTGGTACCAGATCATCTTTCGAGGGTTGACAGATTTAAAGAGGAAGGCCACTATAAAACATGTATTGTCACTTTTGTAATGTGGGTTGCTACAGGTAAAAAGTAATGGTGACTTCTTGTTAAGGTAAACTGCTAGAACGCCCAATGCCTTGTTTGGTTTTGGGAGTTTTGGGGTTTTTCGCTGTAGCCATGGATAATTCACTGGCTACAGAAGAGGGTGTGGTAATGGAAATCTTCTCACCTGACTTAAGAGTTGTGTTTAATTGAACAAATACAAGTTTCTGCTTTACTATGAAGATTCTGATTCCAGATTCCACTGACTAGGTCTCTATTAAGTGAACAGTTGTATGAAGTGAAATAACTCCAGATGTTTGTGCAAGAAATTTCTCCGCCTGAATTAGTCAGACTGAGGTCCTTCCATCATCAGTGATGAAACACAGACCTGTGGCTTTATCAGCTGACATTTTAGATGCCTGTTTTGGCTGAAGTTAAGTGCTATCTGCTAGAGCCCTCTTTATCATTGAAAGACTGAAAAATTGAGTCTTTTGAGTCTCAGATGTAGAGGTAGACATTGCAGGAATCTACATTTGGACTGGTGAAACCCATCTCAGGTGTTCAGCAAATGACAGGCTTCTCCTTTGAGTCATTTGTAAATCCATATTCAAGATGAGAAAAAGGGAGAGCTTACTATTGAAAGTTGCTGTGTTAAGCTCAAATCACTTTATTCAGAACCATTACATGTTTTTTAAGGCTCTAACCTGAATTTTTTGTGCATGAGAAAGGATATTATTGCTAGCATTGGACTGTATTCCATGCTGGGTATTTACATTTTAGAATAGATTCCAGCTTGAATCCCTGAGGGGAGTTACAAAAGTAGAATATAGTAAAATGTATGCAGAACATTCACATGATAATATTAGTTACCAAATCTGAAAAAACAGAATGAAACTTAGTATTAAAGACTAAACTGCTCAGTCACCTAAATAAGCAGACATATGCTGTGTCAGATATAATAGGCATCATTTGGCTGATGCCGTTGATTTACCAGAGTGGTATTTTGAAATGGAAAGCTATTAAACAAATAAGCGTATTGAAATTAGCAGTGTTCCCAGCGTTCTATTCAAAATTCTTCTATATTTTCATGTAGGGGCCTTCTAGTGGAAGTCATGTTTTGCCTTTCTAATCGAATATTTGGTTACCCAAAGGTGGCTTTATGCTTTGGAGAAAGCCAAACTCAAGTCAACAACTTTTTGAAAGGAACTTTTCTAAAAAGAAATAAAAAATGTTCAGAAAGGGAACACCTCATTCCAAGCATCACTGTATATTGGAAAATAGATCAAATGTGTATGTAGTCAGGCAGGTCCTGTCTGAGGAACTGATCACTATATAAGTGGATTCTGAGGGTGTTTCTTCCTTTATGCCTGTTGTTAAAATGGAAGTTGGCTGACTAAAATGATTTTTGTGCCTATTGGGCGTTATTTTCAAAACAGAATTTCTGAAGTTAACTTACTAACTCTGTACCTTGAAATTTAAATGGGTGTTCTGATTTTCAAAATCTAACTACATTTTTTAAGCCAAGTGATTCATTAGGAGGGCAAAACAGGATTTCCAGTTTGATGCTGAAGAAAAAAAAAATAAAAAGGAAAACAACACCACTTCAAGATTTTCAGCACTAGAAGAAGGAAGTTCAGTGTGTGATCTGGCTTTAAAAAGTGCTCTGTGCCAAATAACTCCTTCAAAAGTCAGTGTCTTAAAGCAGTGGCTTGCATTCCTAACAGCATGAAGAGCATAAGAATATCCAAAAGGGTTCCCAGGCAATGTATATGCCTTTTTATCATTGTTTCAGCCCTAATACTGAATCTGGAAACTGCCTGCTATTCAAAGCAAATATTTATAGCCTCCTTTGCTGCTCTAATTTGTGGGTCCCAAGGATTTGCTTCCATAGCCGTAATGGCTCAAAACTTCTAATTCTATCCCTTTTATCACTCCCTCACCATGTATATCCTGTGCCATTGGTTTTACTAGAGAAGTTGGTTTTATCTTCCTATTGTCCAGAATAACTGTTGTTTCTAGTCGTGTAAGGGTTTCATCTGTCATAATCTTAATAGCACAGGATCAATGATTAAAAAAAAAAAATACCAAATTCATCTATTCAAAGCCACATGTTGTTCTAGATTTTTTTCTCAATTATTATTTTGAGAAAGTTTTCTTTGCTTCAAGGATCCTTTGCTTTAGTGCTCAAGTCATGTTTTCATCTTGTTCTGCAATCAGAAAAATGAGAAATTTCTTTTTAATGAAAGTTGTGATTTTTACATGGTCACAGGTAAGGAAAAACAACAAATATGATGAAACAAGAAAAAACGACAGCAACTGTATTTGTCAACAGGATGGAATGATACTATGGTCGTTGTTCTCTTTTTGTAAAGATGATCTCTTCCTTCTTTTGCTTAACTTGTGTAGCAACCATCCAGCTTTTTTCAAGCTCGGCAGATCATTAAAACCAGTGGTCTGGGCTTCCAAGGACTAAACAAAGGTCTTACTGCAACACTGGGCCGTCATGGAGTTTTTAACATGGTTTACTTTGGATTCTACTTCAATGTGAAAAACATTCTTCCTGTCAATAAAGTAAGTTCTTCATACAATGCAATAGATAAACATGTAAGAGGTTTGGCAATTTAATTAACAGTGTATTTTTCTGTGCAAAGCTGTGGTATTTAGTAACAAACAGTGACTAATCCAGCTCTCTGTTTTGTAGGAATTTATAGCATTTTAATGGACACAAACCAAGGATTTGTACTTTTCACTTTTTAAGCAAATCTGAGTATAAACAGTTGTATTTGAATTCTCTTTTTTATGAGTTTCCTTTTATACCATGGTAGCAATGTAAAATGAAGAAATTGGGGTACAGGTATGTTATGCTTGTGTTAGGTATGTATATACTTTTTTGTGGTAAACTGGCTTAGAAGAGAAAAATCAGTTTCTAGAACTTCTTTCAGTAAGCACAAAGGGTCTAAGCTTGAGGAGATGGCAGATCTGCAGTACATAGTGTATTCTGGCAATGGACCAGGCCTATTTACTCAAAAAAGAATTCGACCTGGTGCTGAAGGATGACAGGGCATATTTATCCATATGGGAGGGAGCAAGCCCGAAACAGGATTTACAGGGTCATGCACAGGGGCTTTATGTAGTTTGTTAGTTAAAATAAAAAAAAAAAAAAGACCACAATGAAATTTTATAGCTGTAATTTTACTTGAAGCAATTTTATTTGATAGTCTTATATACCTTTACATAACAAAGAAAACATTTCCCTTTTGGACAAAGGGAAATTTTACTATTGAAAATGTGGTAATACTGGCAACTTTCTAAATTATGTGTGAGCAACAGCTAATGGTTTATTAATGACTCCAGGACATTACTTACTGAACTGTGTTTTCACTAATGTGATTTTTAGATGATGACAGTTAAGCAGTCACAGGTGCAATACGTAGTGATATTCATATAAGAAGCTGCAATTTACATCAAAAGGGATCAGTTTCTACTCCCAGATGAAGTAACACCTCTTTTTTTTTCTCACTTCTGAGTAGCCTCGCATTTTTCTTGGCATCATTGTGTAAATGGAGAAAAGCTCCTCTTTTTATTTGCAGATTATTATAGTAAATTGAATTGTTCAAAAGCAGCTAACCCACAAGTTTCTACAAGTTTCTTTTAGTGTATTTAAGCATACTTTAAAATGTACTTTAATCACACATTCTAAAAACTCAAGCCACAAGCAATAGCTTGGTACTAAGAGAGGCGTAAACACATTTATGTTGATCAAAAGACAAAAAAATTTTAATCACTATGCAGATTATTCAGAATCAAATGCAGGGGCAAAGAGGCTTGTGTGCAACTTCTGTGAAAATCCTGAAGTGTTCTTGCATAGCAATTGAAGAACAGTAATAGTATTTTAATAGTATTTGGCATAAGTATGCTTTCCTACCCTTTCAGAGTAAAAAAAAAAAAAAAAAAGGAAAAAACAATTATTGCAAGTATTCAGAATTATTGCAAGATTCTATATGATCTAAGAATTAGCGCTTTTGCAAAGTACATCTAGAAAATGAAAGAGAAATTACGTTACTGGTGTCAGCCAGTGGCCTAGCTGTCCTGTACATACCATCAAAAGTAAAAGACAATTTAGTCAATGTAGGGTTAGATTGCATTAACTGCAAGTAAGTGAAGAGGTCGGTCTTTTGTTCAACCAGTGCAAAGTGGCTTGCTTGGTGGCTTCCACAGTGGCTACATCTACACTAGTAAATTGAGCAGTGTCACTGGAACTCAGTCATCTGTGCTGTTAAATGTTCCCTGGCACAGCTTTGGCCCAGACCGGCCAACACTGGGTGTGGCTTAGAAGCTAGTGCAGACAAGGAACCATTCCTAATAGGCAGTCTGTTTTGAATGGTAATAGCATTTAATAGCGCTAATAAAGTTAATAGGCTTCTCTAGGCCAGCTGGCATCAGTGCCATGGACAGTTCTGTACATACAGACACAGCCAGCAATTCTGATAAAATGTCCATTATAAACAATGCAAATCTTACCTTGAATTTAGCAGGGTATATATCAGGACTCATCTGGCTTGGTAGCCAACATTATGTCTCAGGTAATTAACTGCACCAAACTTCACTTCAGTGACTGGAAAATGGAAATCTTGATCCATACTTGTCCTGAACAGATCACAGTCTGCAAGTTAAACTTCTGTCAGTAGGCAGGTACTAGAGGCTAAGAGTTATCAAACCTGTATCAGGAATTTTGTTGAAGCTATTTTGTAGTTAGTCTGGAAAACATTAGACAGTTGTAACTTTTCAAGATTTCTCACATACTTGATTTCATTACAAAACCTAATTTGTTCATTTTTTATATTTTGCCAGAAAAGAAAATCATAAATTCAGTCTTGCGATATTGACAAACATAAAAATTGTGAAATAAGAGTATTACTCTTTTGAAATCATTTTGGCTCTTGAGTATGTATCTGCTGTTCAACATATGTAATGTAAGTGGAAAAATGTATGGAAATGTCCATATGAGCCTTTTAGCTGTCAACAGTGCTAAACTGTGCATTAAATTTGCATCCCAATTAGGGATGTTTACAGCTTATTTTGCCAAAAACAATAAACCTGTTATGTTGAGTGGTCAAATGATATAAATGACATGTGTGGGTTGTAAATGTTCATAATGAATAATTTTTCGTTTGTTCAGTCTATTCTACTAAACAGACCATTTAAGCCAACCTCATGCTCTGTTTACTGAAAATAGAATAAGCCAGACTTGTTTCAATCGCCACTAATGTGTCAACCATAGAGCATTAACAGCTATGCTTCTGCGCTAGCAATCAAATTAGTCTGCAAATTTATATCGTCTCAGTTTTATAGCACCTACTTTTATAGCACATTTCATAGGCGCCCAGCAGCTCTCGCTTTTCAATTTTTTATCATAGTTAGGTTTGATGGCAAACTTTCTTTTCATTAAAACCTTTACTCACTACCACCTCCAAGTGGCTGTCATTTTTCTTAACAATATGGAGTTTTCTCACTGTTAAAAGCCCCCTTGGAAACTTGGCCATCTGCAAAACTCATTTCAAGTCAAGCACTGCCTGCTCTAGCTGCCACAGATGTGCCTTCTGTTAAAAGGACAGCGGGAGCTTAGCTGTATGTTGTTTTGCCAGGGAAAAGGCTTCAAACTTCTATAGGCAAAGAGATTGGAAACCAAAACTAGCTGTTCATCTTGACAAATAAATAAGATAGCAGACAACAATTTTATTTTACTTGTTTTCATATCTATGCCAATATTCAAGTTATATGTAGGAAGAGACAGTGAAATGGTCATGTGGTGCAACAGAGTTGGAAAAATAGTAAACTAAGGTGATTTAGAAGACTGTATCAGAGCAGAAAATGGAATAAACTCAGAGCTGCCATCCCAGCTCAGGTATAGGATGACCTGGGACCTGGAAAAAAAAAAAAAAGAAAAAAACACATGGCAGTGCTGTATTCGGCTGTATCCAGTACAATGTTACAAGTGATCCATTGATCAGTACTTTTGACTGTGAGGTGTCCTGTGGCTGTTTTAATGAGAGCCTGTGTTGTTTAAAGACTCCAGCCCAGGCCATCATCACCAAAAGATGTTGTATCAAAGAGGGAGAGTCTGTCCTACCTCACCTGCTCCTGTACTGCAGTGTTCCTGTAAGCAAGACAGATAGGAAGTTTAAGGAGAGGAATCTCTGGTCAAAATAGAAAGGTGAAGAAGCAGCACAAATTTCTCCTGTTTTCCTACAGAAATAAAGATGATGCTGAAATGGATGGCCAGGTTCAACCATACCTGACAGAGAGGCAGGCTTAAAATAGCTAAATTCTTGTGAGACATACAAATAATAATTTAAAAGGAGGAGATCCTGCAGGTGCATCTTAAGAGTGCCACAACTGGGGGAAATTTTTCGTGGGAACTTATGCCTTATTAAACACTGCATTTGAGGGGGAAAAGCCCACGTAAGCCCATGTATGTCTGGGCTTGCAGACATCAAGTATCAGTCAGTCACAAGGGCTGATAAGGACATCAGACTTCCTTAGCTCTGGTATTCACGGGGGTCCTCATTTTCTTTTCCTGTTTCCTAAATTATTGTCTGAGACTGAAGATAGATAGTGCAGACAAAGGTGCTGGATGCAGCAGTACATGCATTTCTGAGTGCATTTTTCTGCATAGCTAGTGTCTAAATGATGCCATGAAGCGTTGACTTGCTTGTAATCCCAGCACTTCATGAACAGTCTGATCATCTGCATAGGCTGGCTTAGAATTGCAGCAGAAGTCTCATATGAAGCTGGGAGATTGATTATGCTTTACCAGTGTGGTTAATGGTTTTCCAGGTGGCCAGTCCCCAGGAGCCACAAGAACATGCACTGAACAGTGAATGACAAGAACACTAGGTACCCTCTCTTGGGTAAACCTGGGAGTCATTGATGTAGGTCACTATGGGACTAACAGGGAAGACAGACAAGAAATTTATGAGCATCTAAAGAAATTGGGCAGGAGTTTATTTTGCCTCTTTGATATTTGCTTTCAACAGTCTAACGATAATATACAGAAATGGTGATGAATAAAAAGAACAAGTACAGATCTGTCTGGTGCTTCTCTTACTGACTATACTGCCTATACTGACTGAGTCTCCAGAATTGTGTATACTTTCTGTTCGGTGACCAGCAAATTTTGTTGCCTCTTGGTTTTTTATTTACATTGAAAGTTCTTCAGTGCAGATACTTGTTTTAAGACAAAGTGAAGTCCAAGCCTTACCCTGTCAGTCCAAAAGGTTATAGCAAAAGAGTAAATAATAGATAATAATGCTACTTATAAATCTGGCATAAGACTAATAATTTTATCAGGAAATTGTATATGAGAAAAACTAATCACTGAGAGTATAGCAGACTGTTTGAAATTATATACCCTATACAGCAGACAGCCATGTCACTCTGGAGACTAGCCAGGACATTTATCCTAGTGGCTGTCGTTCATCTTCTTATGCTGTCAGATACCTGACAGGTGGATTTTAAAAACTTAAATAAATGTCTGCTGCAATGACACTGCACTCAAGGAGGAATCTGAG